CAAGCCCTGGTGAGGACAGCGCAGGATCCCTGGACAGGTAAGTGTCTTTTTATTAAAGGTCAGCAGCTACAGTATTTGTAGCTGCTGACGTTAATTTTTTTCTTTCTAAGGTGAAGAACCTGTTTAATGCATTCTCTGCGTTAAGGTAAAAAACTGTCTGTGTTCAGCTCTCCAGCCCCTCCTTATACATAAAAAAACCAAAAACATAAAAAACAAAAAAACAAAAAGACCGCAAAAACTGCGCTTAGTGCTTACAAATAAAATACTAAACATGAACTTCCCACGGCTGCATTCAAAAACACTCAATACTCAAAATAAATGTTTTGCTGTGTCTTTAAGAGTAAATTGTGCAAGTAAATGTCGCTACTCTTACCTTTAAAACCCAATATCTGGTTAAAATGATTTGTATAACCCAGTGGATGACACAACAATTTCAAAAATGCAATGAGTATATTCTAAAAAAATATACATATACAATCTCCCTTATACTTACCCAAACCCTATGTCGACCCAGCTCCTCGCTCTCTCTCTCCTCACTGGCCATGGAGGCAGCTGTTGATGCCTTTGGCTCCTGCTGCTGTCAATCAAAGACAGTGAGTAGAGAGCAGGGGATTGGGGCCCAGCCACACTCTGTGTGTCAGGGGACACACAGAGTGCGGCTCAAGATCAGGCCTGCATAAGTGCCCCCATAGTAAGCAGATTGATGTGGGGGTCACTTGACAGGGGGGAGGAGCCAGGAGCACTGGCGGGGGATCCTTTTGGGGGTGCTCTGTGCAAACTTATTGCACAGAGCAGGTATGCATAACAGGTTATTTTTTAAAAATGATGTTTACATTCACTTTAATTTGTGTATAAAACCAGCTGTATACATTGTAAGCCTTTATTAGGAACTTATTTTTATCGTTAAAGAGTTAACGAGTGGAGTGGGACTTTGACACTCTACCTGTACTGCCTGGCATGTTGCTTGGGATACGCACTGTAGAATGGACAGCTGGCTACTGCTGAATGTTCGATGGAATGTGTCCAAACTTTAACAGCTATTTGTGCCGGTTCCATTACCTTGCAGCAATTCTAAATCGTATAACATATTCTACTTGGTTTGGAAGTTTGTACTTGGCCTGTAGACTCACCAGCTCATTGAAATGTATGTATTTGGCCAACTTAGACATATGCTTCAACTTCTGAATGTCATCCATGCAGTCGGTCAGCCATCTGCTTTACTCATGCAGGTTATCTCACTGAAAAATATGCTTACCTACTCTGTAAAGAGTTTTTTCAATGAGTCAAGCATCCCAATGCAATAATCCATAGGAACTGGTTAGCAACCATCTTTTACTGCTCTTAAAATCTAAAACTTTTTATTTGTGTGTTTTTTAAGTTGATGTTTAGTGGTTTTTTTTTTTTTTTTCACCCGGATCAATACTTAATGAATGAAGAGTGTCTTGTATGCTGGTGGCTGCTGTTGTTTTTGAAATCTTCATTCCTCTGCCCCCTGATACCCCTGCAGCTGTAATCTTTGCGTGCTGTGGAGGTAAATATGAATCGCTGCACCTGTCATGGGCACTTATCAGAAATGTTGACTATCCCCACCCTTCCACCAGCCTTCTGTTACATTCATAGAACCAATGCTATTATTTCCTGCAATGAAAAGCAATCTCTCTATGAATGGAGGAGGCAGACCTTTCATTCATCCACCAATCCTCCATTCCTAGAGTGCTTTCTCTGTGGGAATTGATAGCATGGCTTGTGTGGGAACTAACATCAAATGGTAGAGTTATTCCAGCACACAGCCACTCACTTTATTCTTTTTTAAAGGCCTCTTAGCCAAATTTTCTTTAAAAGAATGTTCCACAACATGCTTCCCACGCAAGGGTATCCACCATCAAACAAATGAAACAAATAATCAGCCTCCTGGCTTGTACACAGATTTCTGCCGCTCTGGCCTTCCACTTTAGGCTCACAGCTGTCTCCTACAGACTCCTTCCAAAATGGCTTTTAGCACACAGCTAGAAGCCTCTTGCTGCTCTGGCTTCTTCCTCTCCTAGGTGGCATTCGCCTGACTCCAAGGCAGTGACCTCCTGTCTGCCGGGATGGAGCCCAGAACCCTGGTCCTGACTCTAGAAGAGAGCCATGCACACGTGACCAATCAGTATCCTGGCCATTCCCAAAACCTGGTCCCAGGATTGGAGATTTCATCCCTCCCAAATCACTTTGAAATCTCCAGGCTCCAGGTCCCAAAATGGACCTTACAAACAAAGGAGGAAAGTGAAAAGCCAGTTTCCTCTGCATCAAACAAGTACCCTAGAGCCCCTCAACCTGCCTTGTTGAGAATCCTGGGTGAAATATCCTTTTTTATATCATGACAGATCACCACACTGTATGAATAGAGCTTGGAGCAAGAAAGGGCAGGGATGGCTGGCACTTTTGATTGGTGTTTGTGACAGGTGTAGCCGCTAATATTGATCCTGGCAGCATCGGTGGATTACTACTGCGGTGGTATCTGGGAGACAGGAATGAAGATTTCAAGGAACACAGCAGCCACCAGCACACGGGACACTCGTCATTCATGTAAGTACCGTCCCTGGTGTTGAAATTATTATTATTTTTTGATTTTGGTGCTAATTGCAACACACAGTGGCTAGGTGGTTAGCACTTCCACCTAGCAGCACCAGGGTTGTCAGTTCGAATCTCAACCATAACAATTAATGCCTATAGTTTGCACATTTTCCGTTTGCCTGCTTGGGTTTCTTCCGAATACTCCAGTTTACTCTCACACTCCAGAGACATGCTGGTAGGTAAATTGGCTCCTGTATACATTGGCCCTAATATGTGTATGTATGAATGTGAGTAAGGCTGGCCATACATTATACAATTTTCTTATTCAATTTCCTTTAAATTTACCTTCAACTATGTAATACAATGGAGTATAAATGTGTGAGATAGCGAGCGCACCAATAAGAAGCTGCTGATGCACAAAAAGGAACCACAAAGCCTTTCTAGGAAAATGACATGAAAATAGGGTGTGCAGCGCTATACAAATAAAACACACTATCTAAAAGTATGGCAAAATATGACAGAAATGGAAAAGTCCTATAAACTGAATGTTAAACAGTCCAAGGTGGTAAAATATCAGTCCAAAAGGTATACTCCAGTGATGGAGTATAAATAACTTCAATCCAAATGGGTATATTCCAGCATCTTAACATGAAGGTGTAGAAAAATTGCCCACTCACCGGAAGTGCAATTTAATGTGCACATAGAAATTCCATGAAGCCGGAGGTCCCATGAAGGAATAGCTTGATGATAAAGGTGCCCTCTGGTGGTAGATGGGGTGACGGCTGCCAGAGAAGTTGATCTGGACCAATATCCCAAATTGTCCTGCTTGGGTGGACTCCTAGAATGCTGGGCTGAGATGTGGAGGCTCAGTGCCAGGTGATAGAGATGAAAACGCTCATGGTGTAGTATTATAAAAAGTATTTAATGAGTATATATCATAATGATAAAACAGTAAAACGTACAGGGTTAGAGTACCAGTATAGGTATAGTGTAAACGAGCTCTTTAAATGCACTGACCAGTGAATACAAATGATGGCCACCGGACCTCCTGATCCGGTGGCGTAACGTCAAGGCGTGCAGAGGCTCCTCCTAGACGTGCTTCGTGTAATAACACGTCTCCTGTAGGGGTGATGCCATACTTTAGATAGTGTGTTTTATTTGTATAGCGCTGCACACCCTATTTTCATATGTAATACAATGGCCTGCCTGATTGCATACAGATTGAAAGTGTTTAGTGTTGACCTCATATTATTTGGTTTTGGTAAATCTAAAATAAAAATTGTACAAAAGAATTGTATAATAAATGGCTAACCTTAAGGATCCTAGATTGTTAGCTCCTCGAGGGACTGATGTGAATGTACTGTATGTATGGAAAGCGCTGTGTAAATTGATGGCACTAAATAAGCACCTGTAATACAATAATTATCTTTTAATTACAGAATTTATACAGTATTTGCAAGATTGCCTTTGGGTAATCCTCCTTTCTGACAAGTTTTTGTAGCAGTATTGACTGAGTTATATCAAAAGGTCATTGTTAAAAATCTAGGGAAATGGTTGACGTGTAAAGCATAGTATCTAATTAAAGCTGAAGTGTACGTATGCTTAGTTTTGCATAATCATATTGGTCCAATGTATGTATGTATGTGCCATACCTGGAAGTTTCCTCTGAAAGCTGAAAATCGTTGTAGTAGACACCACTAGCTCCCTCTGAAGAAGTGCTTTTACATGAAACGTGTCAGGGAGGTGCCCCTGACCTGTGTGCATATACCACTAGGCCATCCTGATTGGTGGCCTGAGCAGAACCTGATAATGTACCTAGACTGAGGACATCTAGTGGCCGACCTGTGGATGACATCTGCCTGGCATCACAAGTCCAGAGCACCAGGAGCAGGTCTTAATTGCTCCACACTCAATTAATGCGCTATCTGAATAGTGCATTGTTTGTACATTCACTAGCACACAAGAGTCACCATTAACATGTACCATGGACTTCTGAATACCTGCACATAATCACTTTGCGTGATCACTATAAGGACTGAGCTATCTAACATATGTGATTTTATTTGTCTTCACCAGATTTTATCATTATTAACGCTGCATATTTATTTTACACCACTATTCAGTGATCACCTCTGTCTTCTTGGTCCCATGCAGAGGAGCTGCCCTGCTACATAGTGAACACAGAAAGGGTGCTTGTTTGGCATGGGTGCCTTTTTAGAGAACGCTTTTTCTCTATGAATACATAGGGGGCGACAGGGGCGGACTGACCATTTGGAAACTTGGGCACTGCCCGAGGGCCCGGGGTCAGTAGGGGGCCCCATGAGATGCCCCTTGAACTTTTTTCATAGGCTTTTTTGAGTTTGGGCAAGGATACAGGGGCCCCATGATCCCCTATTGCCCGGGGGCCCCATGAGTTGTCAGTCCGCCCCTGGGGGGCGATATACTAAAACTTGTGCACTCAGAATTTGATGCAGCTGTGCATGGTAGCCAATCAGCTTGTAAAGTCAGCTTTTTTTAGTTATTCTTTGTCAATAAAACCTGAAAGCTGTTTGGTTTCTATGCAGAGAGAAATCAGGTTTACACTCTCCAGTTTTAATAAATAACCCCCATAGTGTTCTCTGATTGGATAAGGTGGAGATCATGACCCCATCTCCCCGCCTTTCCACCTCATCCAGTCATAGAGTCTCTTTCAATCATTTAGAAAATGTAAAGTGTTTTTTGGATGGTGTCCATGCAGCTACTGGGCTTGGGACCTGGAAGTCAGCGGTGTTCACTGTAGGAGTGGGGTATACTACAGTGATCGGATGCCTCCACTGGGGTCTTCCACATATGACACATACTTACTTACATTGGTCCAAGCTGAACCTATGTACCTATGCAAAACTATGAATGCCTAAACCTTAGCTTTAAGGCCGCTTTTTACTAGTGCGACTTGTCGTGACATGTCATGTGACTTTGGGCACACAGAGTCTAATGACAAGTTGCCACTGACTTATTTCATTGGCACCCATTCCAATCTTAGTGACTAAAGTCACACTAATTCAGCTTGACTTTTTTGGGACTTGAATGTCATAGAGTGTAAAGTTGCATCAAAGACGAACTGGGAATTGCGCAACTTTGGAGTTGCACTAGTGTGAACCGAACCTAAGGCCAGGTTTACATATGTGCGGCCCGTGATTTGCGCGGGCATGAGAGTCCATTCATTTGAATGGACTTCGATGCCCTGTGACATGCAGGGAAAAAGTCCCTGCACTTCTTCGGAAATCGCAGTCCACACGGGAGCCGAGGTTCCCAGTACGATTGCAATTTCCAGTGCGGGTGGCATGCCATTAAAATTAATGGCACCCATCTGCAGGTCCTGCATTACTCTGTGTGGGTGGTGTGGCTGCAGGTATTTTTGAGGGTCCTGCAGCAGCACCACCCGTACAGATATAAACCAAACCTAACTATAGTCCGGAATAAGTATGTTTTGGTTTACCTATTATTCATGTTTGTTTGTTATTAAAATGTTCATGTTTAGTCCATAAACAGTCTAATTTATTTCCAAACAGCAGAAACGCTACAAGCTGTCACAAGAGCAATATGCATGTTGTCATTGCTGGCCTCATTGTTGAAGTGCATTCAAAGGCAAAATAAACAAATTTAAAAAAAGCAACTGAGCATGTGCAGAGCAGGGTGAGACCATGTATTACTGGATTTTAAACACTATAGGCACCTATTTTTAATCTTTTACATAGCTATACCTGCAAAAGGGGCCAGCCTGAAGCGGTCTAGCAGGACTTAAAGTGTTACTAAACCCAGGACCCTTCATTCACTATATCTGGTCTCCCACAGTACACAGAACATGGAAGTGCAATTATTTTAGTAAATATAAACTTCTAAATACCTTTTCTCATCAGCAGTTAGAGCAGTCTTGTGACTTCCATCAGTGTACAGCCAAGCATTTGTTAAAGCTTGCAGAGGAGTTTTCGTTTTGCTCTAGGAGGATGCAGGGCCCCTGAACTCTGTCTAGACAATGCTGATTGGCTCTGTGTTGATCACATGCCCTCTTCCAAGAAAAAAATACCACTATCATTACACACCAAACTGAGCATGTGCAGAGTGACTCCACAAAATATGTCTTATCAGTACACAAGAGGGGAGACACTGGAAGAAGGGGAGGATCAGAGAAGTCAGGATTAAACAGCGTTTTTGCACCATGCAGGGTATTAAACCCTTAGGCTCCACAGTGAGTATAACAAGAATGCTTCGCTGCATATACAGACTGATTTTACTGTTGTGGGTTTAGTAATACTCTCATTTTCTGACTAAACTTCTACTTTACTCATAGTGTTACATGAACAATGGCACATTAGGCTAAAAATAGACTGAACATACTGAGACAATGTGACCGGATGTTCTGGGTCTTGCCTGAAATTGGCTGCAGATCAGTATGATCCCAGTGTGCAGTAATGCAGAGAACATGCTACGATAAAGGCTTTTCTTATATTTTCTCTGACTTTTCCATTACGCAGACAGGACTTATGACTTTTGGCATATCTTGTATTAGTTGGCAAGGAGCAGCTTCAAGAAAGTGCATGTTTAGTTCAATCTTCATTAATGTTTCACCAGTTTTGCTTGCCAAGTTTGGCACGCCAGCAATTTCATAAAGTATACACATTTATTTATATTGTTTGCCTTGGCTCATTGATGTCACTGAATTGGGCGCGATTTGATGAGTTATGATCTGGTGAATATTGCTTACTTTATACTTCGGTGTTGATATTGCTTCTTATTAACCATATAGTCTGTCTCCCCATGAATACTGGTTCAGCATCTGTGATGTCATCAATACAGACTTCCAGATCAGATGAATATTTCCCCAGATCAGATGCATATTGTGCTTGGTTATCAAGTGCTTCCAGTATAATGATAGTTATTAACTGAATCATGACTGCCCTATAGCAGAACTACTGCTGCTACAGGGCAGCAGGGCTGCGCAAAATCACGTATATACTTGATTTTGTATTTACAGGAAGGGGGCACTCGCACTGCCCTACCCACGCCGCCATTGGTGGCTTCAGCTGTCGATCACTGGGTCCCAGCCGGAGATTCCCCACCGGCACCAGGCGATCGCCGAGGAACACTGACAGGGGAGAGGTCTGTATGTAAACAATACAGATCTCTTCCCTGTCAGCACCAGCATGCTGCTTTGTATTGCTCTGCATAGCAGAGCAAAACAAAGCAGCATGCTTACATAGTAAAACAGCACATAATGTGAAACACACACAGCACACAGTTAACCCTTTGATCACCTCAGATGTTAACCCCTTCCTGCCCAGTGTTATTAATACAGTGTCAGTGCTTTTTATTAGCAATGATCACTGTATTAGTGTCACTGGGGATGTCAGTGACAGTTTGTCAGTTCCCCCAGAATGCCCCCGCTGCAGTCCCGCTATAAGTCGCTGATCGCTCCATTACTAGTTTAAAAAAAAAAAAACTCCAGTGTATATATACACCGTTATTTGTAGATGCTATAAGTTTCATGTAAACCAATTAATTTACACGTATTGGGATTTTTTTTTCTAGCAAAAACATGTAGCAGAATACCTTTTGGCTTAAATTTATGAGTTAGAGTTTTACATTTTTTTTTTTTATTGGATACGTTTTAAAAAAAACGCAGAGGCGATCAAATACCACTGAAAGAAAGCTTCATTTGTAGGAAAAAAGGATGTGAATTTCATATGAGTGCAGGGTTGCATGACCGCGCCATTTTCAGTTAAAGTACCGCAACTCCGTATCGCAAAAAGTGGCTTGGGGTTAATCCTCTGGAGGGCATGTAGTTAATTTGTACAGTGCTGCAGACAAGAATCCATAACTGTGCACAATGCATGGATGCAGGACTAACCTGAAACACAGAGTGGTCATGGTTTGCAGGGGGAGTGCGAAGCACCGGATGCATTGACTGCGCTTGGTAGCCTTGCCCGGTGCAGTCCCAATGCAAAGCAAGGTAAAAAGCCTCTGGCCAGTTCACACCATCATACTGTTGTGGCCTGCACTGCAAAGATATACATCATGTGGTGGGTTGTGTCGCACAATGTTGAGGCCATTAGGACCTAATGAAAACAAAAATGCAAAAAAGTAAACAGTGCAATGTACCAGGATAGGTGCATCAGCACCACTGTTTTCACACGACACACCCAGTGGCTGTATTCTAACGCAGCTGCTGGTGTGAATGGGCTCCTAAAGCGGTTCTAAAGGTAAAACATATTTTTTACCTTAATAAATTCCCTGCATTAAGGCAAAAAATGTTTTCCCACTTATTGCGCCCATCCCCCTTTAAACACTTACCTTAGTCTTGTATCAGTCCAGTGCTATGCCCGCTTGCTGGTTGTCACTCCCCTATCCCCTCTTCCTGTTCTCATAAGTTTAGCTGACAGCAGCAGGAGCCATTGACATTTGCTGCTGTCAGTCAAAACCTGTGTGAGCAGAGAGTGGGGGGGGGGGGGGGGGGAGCTTGAAAAAATGCTGTGTGTGTCAATGGAAGCTCACAGCCCAGTTTAGGATTGAGCCTGAACATCTTCCCACATAGTATACATTTTCTATTGGAGCACACACAGAAGAGGAAGAGCCAAGATTGTCGGCAAGAAGAGGAGGTCCTGGCCACTGTGCAATATCATCACACAGAGCAGTTGTTTTAATTGAAAAAAAAAAAAACTGCATTTACTAACACTAAGGACTAGTATAAACTTGTGGTCAGGGGTGGGGAGGTAGTAAAAACGGGTGGATGAGCCATGTTTTTAGTGTCCTGACCACTCCCCCTTAAGCTGCAAAAGCAGCAGAGAGAGTTGTACATATGCGGCAACCATGATGCTTTGTATCATTGGTGGGGTAAAAATTATCCCTCCTATTACTTTGGCTGGGAAGTTTCACACACTGAACACAATCCATTCAATTCATCAACTGCGTCTGATCTAAAGCTTCTTTAACTCCTTTCAAATGTCCTCTGAATAGTGATTCAAAATGGATTACTATTCAGAGGGCTACGCAAGTGTGAATGAGGCCTAAGGGTCTTTTCATGTTAGCTTTTTAAACAGATTTGTCTGTCAGTTTTTCAGGCAGACCTGATTAAATGCTTCTTGTAAGTCTGTGGGCAGGCAGGCAGGCGGATATAAATGGATGTGCGTCCATTTACATCCACTTACCTCTGAGTCTGTCCGGGTCCAGGAATAAAAAAAAAAGTACTTTTCTGTTTTTTTTTGCACCTAAATGTGACAGATTGGAGGTAGCCAGATGTAAACCGATGCAAGTTCATGTTTTATCCAGCTGCCCATATTACCACCATGGGTCCGATCTGCTGTCAAAATGTAGAAAAAAAACTAAATGACAATGATGTCACTAGAGACATTCATCCCATTCTGCTCTGATTCAGCTGAAGATCTGTCCATGGATCCCCTGCTGAACAGTCATGGCCTGTGGGAAAGGAACCTTAACCCTTTTTTGTTTTTCTTTGGATA